CAATTGGGGTGAGGGCGGCAGAAGTAGCAGTGTGAATGTGCATTGAATAGGGGGCACGGCACATCCTGGTGAGTTCATCATGAACTTCTAGGAAAAACGGGCCAGGTTTCTGGCGGGAGGAGATTCTGACGGCATCTGGGCAGGTAACACTTGTCTAAGCAGCTGCAGGCGGGCTCTTTAGGAGCTGACAAGTCTAAGTTTAGTTCCTCCACGGCCTTTGTGAGGATGTGAATCAACTCCCTGTCTATGCCGGCCCACGCTGAGTCTTTGAGAGGAAGGGAGTTGGGATCATCTACAGGACACACTCATTCCTCTGCATCCGAGGCTGTCAATGATATAGAATCATTGGCAACAGCTTCCTCTTCTGATCCGACAAATAAGACCAAGCCACCTTCTACAGACGAGGGGCGCTGATCCTCACGTGAGAATAACACCGGCGAATCAAAGTGCTGCGGGGAGAGTGAAGCACCTGGACCTGTGCCAGCGTGAGATCACTAAAACCCACCTTGGTGCCCAGGCATGCGACACTCTCACCATGCCCATCTGAGTCGTGCAGGGGTTCACACTCGCGGCGCATCATTTGGAACAATGCCGCTAAGGAAATCGCTCTTAGGAAGAGCTCTTTTTCAGTCGCCGGATGGTCGCAGGGGAATGCCGTTCAGAGGCGTCCTTCCTCTGCCGGGGCCCTTCTACGGCGAGTAGCGGCTTTTCTTCGAGCTTCTTTGTCTTCTAGGCTTCTTTCTTCAGAGTCCAGCAGGGAGATAATTTTCACACTGAAGGAAAAAAATTCTGATGAATGGCAATCTGAGCTGACTTGTATAGCAGTCCGCTCCACCCCTTTTGGCGGGTTGAAGTGCCATTTGTTCGTGCAGCTACACAAACGTGAACAAATCAGGCTTAAGTATCAGAGTAAACAGGAGTTTACCCCAAACAGGAGTTTACCCCCGGGAGAGACCGTTTGAAAGGGAAACTTTTTTTCAGTTTGATCCCAATGAAACATTTCCCATTTTAGTTTAAGGGGGGAGGGGGGGGCTAATGCTATTTCACGCATGTTGAGTTATTTACACTGGTAAAGAGTTGGATTATCATGCTAAACATGGCCAAAGTTTCAAAAATATTTTTTCTGTGCCAAATACACTCCTTCCGGTTTCGTAAAGTTTTTTTTTTTTTTTTCGAGGATGGCTCTTCATGACATCATGAAGGGTGGAACTATAGAGGAACTCCTGGAACTTCACCCGCGCACACATCGACCAGAGCGAGAACAAGAGCAGCCCATCAACGCACTTCATTCGGCAGCGCTGCAAGGGACTTGCTCGGGAAGAATGTTTCCAAAGAAGTGTGTTTTTGGTTGTAAGGGAAAGATAACCTTGTTCAGCTTCCTGAAGAAACCAGCGTTAAGTAAACAGTGGATGCAGTTTGTTTTTCCGGGGCAGCAACGGAGTTTTGCAAGTGTGTTTGTTGACAAACATTTTATGAACAAGGCCCAGTTCGAAGCTAATACTGAAAGATGGAGCGGTCCCAATTATAAAAGATCCCGGTCATGATTCGGAACTGCATACAGTAAGTGAAACAGCTTCAAATGTCTGTTTTGTTGGCAATCGGCGCTCAAGTGCTCATCACTCTTTAGTTCTGCCCACAGCGCACATCCAGGAGCTCGGCTGTTTTCGGGGATAATTGTAAAGCTGTATCTTTCTTTTATAAATATGACAAAACTAAAGATTATTTGGACATATGGCTGCAAAACTACTTTATAGGTAATCAAGATTAACATCAGATTGTGTGAAACTGTGTGTGGTATGTCCCCTTTAACTATGTACTGACATGACAAACTAAAACTATAATAGAAGTTTCAAATAGAAGTTAAAAACTATATAGACATAAAAAATGACTCAAGACAACAAAAGTATTACAATTAAAATTAATACTGAAAATATGAAAAAAAAAACTAATTTAAACTATTAATAAAACCATAGTAGCTCGATGCTAAAACAACACTGGACAGAACCTCTCATTCTTATTATTGCACATTTTATTGCACACAAGAACAGACTTTTTTGGAAAAGCCATGAAGCATTTTATTTTCCCCTGTCCACCATAATTATTATTTAGTGGTGTTTTGTGATTGCACTAACCACTCAGCAAATATCATCTCAGTGTTATCACTTTACAGTATTATTTTAATTTCACAAAACAGAAGTCACAGACTGCTCATCTACATACAAATTGGTATCACTAGTGAAAATATACAACTGTATACCTCTTCATTTTAAAAGATGTGGACATCAGTAGTTGGAGGCCTCAAAAAAAAAAAAACATTTAGTGATCTTTTAGCAGAGTATAGAGTATACATTATTGTTGGACTCATTGATTTCCCTCCAGTCTAACACACACCACTACTCACACCATATCCATTATGTAATAATATAGAAATATTAAAAACACTTCAACTAGAATTTATGAAACTAGGCAAATCGTAGTTAAATATAGACAGTAAATATTTTGTTTTGTGTACTTTCATACTTCATAACAGGTCTAAATCTATATAAATAACAAATAACCCTAAATATTCTCTCTATATTTTTTTAATATTATGAACGCTGTATTTTTAATATGCAACTATTAAAATGAACCATTTTAGGAGGAAGATCTGAAATTTCACTAAAAAAAATTACAACACGTGTATTATATTCTATAACAACCAGTTACAAACCTCTTTTTAAAAACATCCCAAAAAAAAAAAAAAACTATCAAAAATACAATCACATTAAATTACTACTACAGGCAAACCTGTGTTGTTGTTTAAATATATATTCGTAAATCGCTAAAAGACCTATTATGTTTCTACAAATATCCCCACACGTACATGAATAATCAAAGACAAATAATCAGTCTCTATAAAGTATTGCTACAGTCAGTGCAAACAGATGAAAGACAGAATTACCACAACGTGATTACTTGGTCAATAACTACAGGAAATAAATAATATTATATAACCAGTGCTATTACATAATCTGATTACAAAATGAAGTACTTGTAATTAGAGTACAATTAAAAAATAAATAAATAAAATAAAACAAACAAGTAATCAGAGTACAGTTACTTTTATGATGGACTACATGCTGACATTTTACATTATTATCAGTCAACAGCAATAAATTAATTTGTAAATTACTGATGAGTTGTCTGTTTGGTTAACCATTATGTGATGTGTCATTCCAAATAATGTCTTATATCCACAGTTAACTAGTAAAATTTAATAGTCAGCTATACTAGTTTACTTTTGTGTGCGGAATACTGATTGATTCTTAAATGGATAGCTCACCCAAAACTTAATCACAAAAGGAGATATTTTGAGTAATGGTAACCAAATACTTTTGGAGACCATTGACTGTCATTGAATGGACAAAACAATGACTCAAAATATTTTCTTTTATGTTCCACCAAAGAAAGTAAGTCATACAGGTTTGGTTTGTACGTCATACAGGGTGAGTAAATAATGACAGAAATTTCATTTTTGGGTGAACTAGCTCTGTAATTAACAAATTAGTGATTGGATTTTCATCAGAACATGCAATAATTAAAGAAACAATTTAAGGCTATTTGTGTTGTTGTGTGTGCAGTAGTTTAAGGAATATGTTTCTTTTTGGTCTTTTTTGTATGTTGTCAGAACAATACAATATAATAGTGCTCTCTGGAGAAAGCAATATTATGGATAGAGGACTCATATTTTAGCAACGGTTTGAAGTTAAAAACGTCTTGATGGATTTGTTTCTTACATACACGCAGCTTTTGGCTTCTCAAGATGTTAACTGATGGACTGGAGTGGTATGGATTGCTTGTGGATTATTGTGATGTTTTTATCAGCTGTTTGGACTCTCATTCTGACGGCACCCATTCACTGCAGAGGATCCATTGGTGAACAAGTGATGAAATGCTACAAATCTGATAATGAAATACACCGCATACATAGGCTGCAACATTGTGAACGCAGACTGGCAGAGTAATGCAAACTGTGAAACGTCCCAGTGCTGTTATACTCTCTATTGGTGCTCTTGCAATGCAGCTCAGCCAATCAGAACACAGCAACAGGACTACCCTTGTAAAAATAAAAGATATAAAGAAGAAATTGTTTTCAGTGTGCATTTGTAGTGTACCTCAAATCTTAAAAGCATATTTTTTTAAAAACTGCTTGCAGATAATATAATATTAATGAAATAAAAGGCCACTTAAGTTACTTAAAGATAGACACTTTCATGACTGTTTCTGGACACACTTAAGTACACTTTTAAAAAGTGACTGTAATAATGTCAAATTTACTTTTAAATTATTGTTTTAATAATCTTTTGTTGTATTTTCAAGAAGTAGCCTTATTTTGATGTGTTGACTAACATATTAAAGTACATGTAAAGTACTTGATTATCATTTTTAACTTAATGTTATTCAACATTGCATTTAAAGTTTATATATATATATATATATTCAATGTACTAGATTGCAACTTCATCATTATAAATGTGTAATTACAAATATATTTAAATACTTTACACTTCAACCATATTTGAAAGACAGACACAATTCTGAAATTACATATAAAGATGTGCTTAAGTAATACTTAAGCATGTCAAAAACACTCTAAATTTCAGCTAATTGCATTTAAAATAAATTTAAACTGCAACACAGTTTCATTAATTGCAAATAACATTCAATTAAGTGTCCAAAAACATTACATTCAGTTCACACTTAAGTATATTAAAGTATGTTACTTCCATAATAAGTACTCTTTTTAAAAGTGTACTAAAATGTACTTATTTTTCACAAGGGTAAAACATGCCAAGAAGAATTACTGAAGTCATAAGCAGCTAAACAGTGTCTGACTGTAATTTTTCAGTGTTCTTGTAAGTCATCAGCATCCTGGGTTGACTGAAGAGAGAAACCATTATATTATACAGTAAACCTTCCAGCTTGAAGCTGTGCTTAATTAGTCATTCAAAAACCTTATCCGTTCTTGCTGTGGACAGAACAATGGACTGACTGGATCCTGAAAACCATTCTGAGGTTGCTTCTGTAGAGCACACAATTTCCTCTTGCTGCTACACTGTACGCAGGCATGAAATTAGCCAAGATTTAGTACCTGATCTACAGTAAAAGCACTTTAATAATGAAACCAAAACAAGAACGCACTGAAGAGTGTGGCACTTCTAGAGTTGACCGAAGAGGATGGAGCAGAGCAGAAAGATGGAGTAAAGAAGCATGAGACCAAGACCTAGTCTCCGATCCAGCTTCCAGCCATTCAGATGCACACTCAGGACCTACAAAACACACAGAGAGAGTCAACGTGGACACTAACAGCATTGTGCTCAGCTGACTTCGCCACTCCCCAGCCACCTTCAGCGTCTGCAGCAGCTGTCGTCTTCCGGTCCCCTGCTGCCATCTGGCGATTTCTATCAGAGCAAATTTCTAATAGCAAATTTTCTCTTGGCGTTGTTGCAAATGCCATGCCGTTACTGCCGCTGACGGTCACGGCGAGTGCGTTTTATGCTTGGGTGCCGCCCATGCTGAAGCTGCACTCACTGAGACGTCATGTCCTCATTGCGAGGATATGAGTCTCGCCTCTCTGCGCTCGTGGATAGCTTTCTTTTCAGAAAGCGACTCCGCCCCTCGCGCCCTCCCGCTTTTTTCCTCCCAGGAGCCTGTGAGGAAAAAGTAGCGGGGCAGAGGAACTCAGCGCTCGGTGACGAGTGAGCCCACGCCGGCTGAGCCCCCGCGTCTCACTCTCTCCACATAGAGAGGTTCTTCCCGTCCTTTTCTCTCACCCGGACCAGCGTCCCTCTGTGGCTGCGAGCGATCTGGTCTTGTTCGGTGGGAGCGAGTGTGACGTCATGGACGACAGCATGTCTCTGGCGGCTTCAGATGCGAAGGAGCTGTCGGACTCGTCTCACGACCCTGCCGTCTGAAGAGCCCAGCGCAACCAGCACGGACCATGCTGAACTGTTCCACGTCCTGTCTAAAGCTGTGGAGGAGCTGGGCTTGGAATGGTCTCCGCCAGAGGAGCCCACCCATAGCCGCCTGGATTAGTAGTTCTTGCCAGGGCGCCGTCAAGCCCCTCGACAACGAGCTTCACCATTCTTCCCAGAGGTCCACGACGAGATCACCAGATCTTGGCGCACCCCCTACTCGGCCCGCCTACGTGCCTCCTCTTCGTCCGCCCTCACATCGGTCGACGGCACCGTAGAAAAAGGGTACGACAGACCGTCTCCCCTGGATGAGTCAGTGGCCGCGCACTGCCACCCCTGGATGAGTCAGTGGCCGCGCATCTCTGCCCGCCCACGGCCATCGGCTGGAAGGCAAAGGTCGCCCACCCATCCAAGCCATGTAGGACGACTTCAGCTCTCGCTGGACGAGCCTATTCGACAGCTGGACAAGCGGCATCGGCACGTCACTCCATGGCGGTCCTCCAGGTCTTTCAGGCCAAACTCCTCCGCTGCATGGACGAGTCTGGCCCAGACCCGGCAGCTTTTAAGAAGCTATGCAGCGAGACTGACCTGGTTTTGCGTGCCACCAAGATGACGGTTCAGGCGATCGGCAGATCCATGGCCAGCCTAGTGGTGCTCAAACGCCACCTATGGGTGACCCTTACGGATATCAAGGATGTGGATAAGGTCCCCTTCCTTGACTCCCCGGTCTCCCCCACTGGCCTGTTTGGTCCTGCGGTCGAGGGTTTCGCCAAACGCTTCACTGCTGCACAGAAGTCGTCCCAGGCAATGCGACACTTCTTTCCAAAGCTCTCCAATTCTGCAGCTGCTTCCAGTCGCCCCAAGACGGCGTCGACTCAGCATCCTGCAAAGCCCGCACCTCCAGCGCCACTAGCTTTTAAGCCTGAGCCCCGTCATCGCTCCCGCTCGGCCAGACGCTACCCATTCGCTAAATGCCAGGGACCCCGGCCCAAGATAGCGCTGGACCCGGCGCCTCAGGCGTAATCCTGATCTGCGGTACAGGAATAGGAAGGGGCCAAGTCTTGCCACAGCCGGACCACCCCCCAAGCAGCCTCTGTTGTGCCTCCAAGCACCCCGACCAAATATGGTGTATGTTCTTGTATTTAGTGATTATGGGTAGGCATTACTCACCGTGAGGAAGACTGATGCGAGCAGCAGGATGACAGAATACACCAGGCCTTTATTATTGATGAATACCTGACAAAAGACAGAGAGCAGTCAGAGGAAAGCATCAGCAGGAACACTGCATCTACACTGGACGAACAGTAAAATAAGTCAAACGCTCACTGCTGAGCCATGATCTACTACTAGCGTCCTCAGAGCCCAGGGGAAGCCCAGTCCCAGCAGGATGTCAAAGATATTGCTGCCTATGGAGTTCGACACTGCCATGTCCCCCATTCCTGAGACACAAAATACAACCAGAATGTAATGCATTTTACAAATATAATGCTAAAGCAAGCTAGTAACATGTTGAAAGAAACATCAAAATGTTGAAACATGCTAGCAACATGCTTAAACATGCTAAAATGCTAGCAATGTTCAAAAACATGTTAGCGATGTGTTAAAACAGGCTAGCAAAATTCTAAAACATGTTAGCAACGTTCTTAAACATGCTAGCAACATGTTAAAACATGCTGTAAAACTGCTTAAACATGCTAGCAACATTCTAAAACAATGCGATCAAAATGCTAACAACATTCTGAGATAAACTAACTGCATAAAACATGCTAGCAATCTATTGACTATCTGGCCTTAAAACCTTCAAAATTCTACCTTTTTAAAGTACTTTAAACAATTTAAAATTTAAAACCTTTAAACTTAATCTTCAAATTCAACCTCTGTAAGTCTGAGCTGTTTCAAAATTACTTGTGAAACCAGGCCCAAGATTTTAAAACTACGTTAAACGTCGCCAGGCTTTCTCAAGCCAACACCAAAGTTTGTCTTGACATTTTTTTTTATAATCTAGTTTAAACTAATCATGAATGAAATCACATGAATTTCTTTGAATTTCATTTATTTAAATTCTCTGTCCTTAATTTTGCATCCTTTCTGCTACCTCAAGTCAAATTCAGACATTGAATTAGAATTTCAAAAACATTCTTTGTATTAGGCAACAAATATGATATTAAAGATAATAAAAGCATGCATACAAACAATTTATTGTGCATATAAAGGTTACACACCTTGGCGGGCGACGATGAGGCTCGCCATGCAGTCGGGTACACTAGTGCCAGCAGCCAGGAAAGTGATTCCCATGATGTAATCAGGAATACCAAGTGTGTAGCTGATGATGGTGACCTGCAAAAGACGCCACATAATGACAAAAATCAGCATAATTGACCAACTAATGGAATGAGAAGAGAGTAAAGATATGGTATATTTGGTACAAATATCGTATATTTAATACAAATGTCTATTTTTGATCTTTCCTTACCATCCACACCATGAGGTAGGAAAAAATAGCAATCCAAATGGTTGAAGCAATGAAGGTGACCATGAACCAGCGATGCCAACGTGGCAAAACACAGTTAGGCACTGTGTAATACAGCAGAACAGCCAGCGGCCAGGACACAAGCCACTTCAGACGCGCACAGTAGCCAGCTAATGCACACAAGACACAGAGACTAAATAACCACTAAATATTCTCAAAGCACTATTTTGATTACTTCTGAATACATTTTTAAATGCATTTTTTATGTGTATATATACAGTGGTGTGAAAAAGTGTTGGCCCCCTAAACCTAATAACTGGTTGGGCCACCCTTAGCAGCAACAACTGCAATCAAGCGTTTACCTTCATTTAAAAACTGCATGTTGTGTTTACTTGTGTTATCTTTGACTAATATTTAAATTTGTTTGATGATCTGAAATATTAAAGTGTGACAAACATGCAAAAAAATAAGAAATCAGGAAGGGGGCGCCACATATATATTATATATATATTATATATATATATAAAATATGTGTGTGTGTTTGTTTAATTACTGAGATAAACAATAGGTCCTATCTTAAAGGAATAGTCCCCCCCCCCCCCCC